GGATTGGTGCTTGTGGGCGTTGACAAATATATTTTGGGCTACTGAAAATCATCAAATTTTGAAGTCTCTTTATCCCCCCACACATCAACTATATACTCTAATCTTTTCTTCTTATAATTTTAAGTAGATATTCATTCATCTTATAAGTATGTGTATGTATACAAGATGGCCATCTTCAGAAAAATGGCATCATATATATATATATATATAGTCTTGGAGTAAAAGAAAAGGTTAAATGATGTACGTATACATCTATATAATGATATATTGATTTGATCATTTGACCTTTTCTTTGTCAATTTATTGTGTTGATGCATGTACGAGAGAAAAGTTGCTTCATTTGAAAAACTCTTTTCTATGGCTTTGCAATTAGCTAATTAAAAAAAAAAAAAGATGAAAATATACTAAATTAATCATTTAAGTATTTTCAAACCTTTAATTTTATAAATATATCCTTTAATTCTATAAATATATAATGTTAATCTTATCTATCTCAATATCTCTCGTATAATTATTCTTATTTAAATCATCTAAAAATGTATTTATCGTTATTCATGACAGAATTTAAATTAAATAATAAAATAATTTAAGAATAAAATAAAAAAAATTTACATAATATAATATATGATCATCAATCAATTTTTAAATATAAAAAAATATCATCATTGAATACATTACGTGTAGGTCAAATTTTTGTAAACTATATGACGTGTTTTGATTCTGATCACAATTCATTGATTTAATAATGACATCTTTATCTTATAATACAACTAGTAATAAACTTGTTCAACTTGTTGTGTTAGCATAATTTGTAACACCCAACATTGATTTTATATATATATAATTATTTGTTAATTGAATTTAATTTAGTTTAATTTAATTTAATTTAATTTAATAAAAATAATAATAATAATAAATGGTAAAAATTAGTTGAGGATTTAATTGAAAATAATTTTGAAAAAAAGTTGTGAAAATTTGGATTTTTAGGGGTACTTTTGAAAGAAAAATCGAAAACCAGAAGTCAAAATATAATTTAGAAAAATTTCGCCATGTCAGATGCCCGGTCAGCAGCCCCGACCAACTAGGACGCGCCAGGTGCAAAGGCGCTGACGCGGGAGGCCACGCTGGCGAAGCCATGTGGGCAATCCGCGTGCGCGCGATCGAACAGCTGAGATCTGTTCCCGCGCGCACGGACGGCCCAGATTGAAAACGCGCACGGACAACCCAGATTGCATTGGACGTCCCAAATTGAATCGCACACGGACGGCCCAGATTGAATCGCGATGAACGGTTCAGATTCACTCCCTATTTAATCGCGATCGAACGGTCTAAATCAAAAGCGACAGATAGTCCAAATTAAAAGCGGATGGGCTTAAATAACTTCATCTGCACCCAAACTCAAACCCTAACCGCCAGAGCCCCTCACCGAAGAAGACAGCTAAGTCGCCGGGGAGTCTATCGCCGTCACCTACAGCCGCACCGGAGCAATTTTTGACTGCCAAAAGAGATAAAAAAAAAAAATTTCTTGCACGATTTTCAATTTTAAACCCACCCATGGTAAAATCAGAGTGAAAGAACTAGCCAATTGACCGAAAACGTTGTCGAAGCTCGGCGCCGCCGCTGCATGGTGTTTCGAAGAACGCCTCCGATGAGACCCTTTTCAATTTTCGTTCGATGTAATTTTTTCACTGTTATGATCACCGTTTCCTTCTCTACAGGTTGACCGGAGCAAAACATCTAACTGCAACGTGAGCCGGAGGAGTTACCGCACCGAAGAGCACTGCTACCGGTGAGTTTCGATTTTCTACGTTCTTTCGGCCAACCAAGAGCCCTAAGTATATTTTTTCACAGGAACCGATGCAAATTTGGCTGAATTCGGCCAAAAATAGCCAAACCGAGGCGGATCGTCGCCGCGAGCGGCGGCGCCGCTGCCGGAGCACAATGGAGCCGCCGTGCTGGATTTTTGAAATTGGCCGAGTGGGCCCTGGGTCTAATTTTTGGATTATTTGGGACATTTGTAGGTACCGTGAGCGCGTTTCAATTCCTGAAAAAAAAATTTAGAGAACCCAGGGACTGCCTGTAAGCGCAATAACTATTTAGCTTTTCAGTGTCAAATCAATAAGAACTTCCTCACACTAATTTCCATCATAAAATTGAAGTTTAAATAAATAATACAACGGTCCTTTGTATAAATTAAATAGATGTACATAATTAATTACAGATTGCTAATGAGCCCGAATCGGACATTGTCTTTGTTGATTTCTGTTGATTTAATTTGCAGTCTAAAATATGATGGTTCCTGTTATATATTTATTGTTTAAATGCATG